CAAGAACCCCGTACGATGACCCGCTCCCAGACGAAAAAAAGGAAAAGAGGGGCGAGAAAGAGTCAGCCACCAAACACTATCTGGAAACCCCGTCGAACTATTAAAGCATTGCAGCTCAGGCTCTAGCGATGATCACAGCGAAATCTCGTAGAAGTTATAGGATGTTGAGCTTGAAAAATGCGCCGAAACCGTAGGGGCATGAACTTGGCGGTTCCGCCGCACGTTCGGGTGTCTGGTGACCAAAGGAGCAGCTATTGTATTGAGCTATCGAAAACAGGAAGCACCCGGTTTGAACCTGCGCAAAACCACCCGCGAGGCCAATTCAGCAAAACCGCGTCGAACCTTTTCCCCGTTCTGTCGAGTAGGACCGAAGCTACACCTGAAACCAGCTCAGGAGGCTCATCCAGTCGTATCGTGCGCGCGCTTCTCATTGAATTCATCCGAGGCAAAAGAATTCGGTTCATCCTCCAATATTTCGACCGAAAAGATAGAGGAAGTGCTACGCAGGTAAGTTTCTTCATTCGCGATCCATAGATCACTGAGTTTTCGGGGGAGATTCTCAGATTTTGGAGAAGTCCCTAGGAGGTTCGAACGTAATGGATGCAACGCGAGAAGGAGGCCCACTTGCCCACCCCCTGTTGATGAATTGTGAGTTAGAGGTCGATCCGCAGTGCCATGAGTGATGAATAGCGAGTAAGCCTCTAAGTAAGAAAAATTATTCAGACATCCATCTCTGTGTTGTGATAAGAGCATATATGCATTCGAAAAGAGGAGTCGCCCCGCTTCCGCTCGGGAGAGCTGGAAGTCATTCAACGAAATTGACGGCGTTCTGAGAAAACCAAATTCTCGGCTCGATGCGCGCGATATCTACCCGCGTCACTAAGCTGAATAAGAACACGAATGGTAAATCATGGTCGTCTGTATTTCCCATCACATAGGTCGATAAATTCCGATCCGGAGCACCTATAGTGAGACCCCGGCCGTCGTAGAACATATGTTTCTAGGGGACAACAATTGATAAAATATTTCCGAAAGTTTGCACCTTCATTCCTAATCGTTCTCTCTCACTCATTCTGCCTCACCACTGTCTCGGATCTGATCTTCTCCGCGGGACGAGAGAAAGTGTCGAAGATTTGTGCCTAGCTCAGGAAAAGTCCCAGGCGGAGTGTCCGAGATTCACAGCTAGTATACTATTTACATCGTTTTTAAAATTCCTACAATCAATCATGAACTCACAGAAACACTTCCGTGTTGAGCAGAAAGTCTGGGGAGGGCGGACAGCAACTCGCTCACAGATAACGAACGATCCCTGAATGGAGAAGTACGAGGAATGCCCTGGGGGGAACTTATTGCTTCCATGAAGAGAGTTCGTTGAAGTCGGTATGTTGTTTCGTAATCGATCCGCCAACTGCCCTCACAAGGAGCTCGGAACTCTAATCACAGGATAACGCGCCTCAATCGTAGCCTTCACACAGTCACTTCGCTTTTATCGATGCCGATGACGTATGCTGACACGGCGAATAATAAGAACACGATCCCGCCAACGATCGTGACAGTTCTAACGGAAACCCGTTTCGCAACGACACTGCCTGCCATAACCGCAAAGCATGTGCATAGGGAATGACCCGTTATGGCGCCTAGATTGACTGCCCAAATGTTTTCACTCGCTGCCAGAATTATCGTTGCCAGTTGGGATCGGTCTCCCCACTCTGCGACGAAGGTGAGCGTCAACGCTTGCCAGAACACCCGCGACAGCACCGTATAGAGTCGCGACTGCATCGATGTCGCCTGCCCGGTCTCGATGTCGGCGGTGTTCTCCATCTCTTTCTGATTTAGGGTTTTCTCAACCTCCTCGAACTCTTCCTTGCCCTCGTCGTCGGCCATCTGAGAGGCTTCGTAGAGCATTTTCACGCCGAACGCCACGAACAGAAATATCGACATGTAGTGAGTGTAAACCCTCGGAATGATTCTACTCAGCGATCCAGCCATGGCGCTCAGGATCGTCATGATGATGAGAGCTGTGATCGCACCGGCGAAAACCACCAAGCGCTTGTGTCTCATGGACATGATCGCAGCGATGAAGAAGGTTTTGTCACCGATCTCGGAAACGATGATGACGCTGAGAGACGAGACGAAACCATGCCAGAAGTTCGGAGTCGTTGAATCTGTCGTCGTTGTGGTCCCAGCTTGCAATGTCGGTTTCATCTTGCTCTCGAAAGCAACCACCGAGTCCGGTAACGAGTCCTCACAATTCAAAAGCGGCAGCAGACACGAACAGATTACCAGTAACCCCAACATCCTGGAGGATTCCTGCAATGAGAGCTCTTGTCAGTCACGCTATAGCGGTTCATGATTGCGGTTGTCCTCATGATGATGATCGGAGCGTCCATCCTTGCCAAATTCAGCCCACAGCTGGTGCCGATGCCGCTACCATTGTCTCAAAGATTTTGGTGAAACAAGGAGAACACAACCATGTCCGACATGGCACATGCCCGGCCCTTGTGTAGTTTAGATAGCATTCGGCATATTACGTGGTTTTACGGAACGGTGCTGGTCACGCGCGGTCTCTCCTTTCCTTTCCGATCTGAGCAGTATCTCTCCTCGAGATAGGGAGCATCCTCGAGATCCCGGAACTCCAAATCGCGCAGAGAATCCCTCGTCGGATTTGGAGCGGATTCCCTCCGATGGGAGTCTGCGAGAAATTCGACCGGAACCAGATACAGTGGTACCTCCACTTACGATCGTCTCGACTTAGGAACGATTCGACTCACGGTCTTTTTTTTTAGAGGAACTCGTTTCGACTTACGAACATCGATATGACTTGCGACCGATTTCACCGGGACGAATGCCTCGACTCAAGATCATTGATTCAATTCACGAGCGGTTTCGAGCTGTTTCAGAAAAATAACCATCCCCAGAGTCATATCGGGACCGGCGATCTCGGAGCGCTCGTCATTTCGCACCTTCGCGCCGGAATGTCTAACGTGCTTCGCTTGCGAAAACCCGCGCAAACCTCGCGGTCCTTTTTCTCGGCTCGGAGCGGATCAATCGCTCCAATATGCTCTTCTGTGGAATATTCTGTTTCGACTTACGATCTTTTCGACTTACGATCGGTCTCCGGGAACGGGTCAAGATCGTAAGTCGAGGTACCCTGTAGGTTTACGGATCTCACTCACCATTCTAGCTTAGCGCTCGCGATATTTAAATATTTGTAACATACGATTCGAAGAGGAATGCGAGAGGCTCGGAAGCATGAAAGGTGATGATTTCATGACTGACCGCGACCCCATATTTTTTTCTCAAAAATTTCCTCCGCGACACCGGGCACTGAAACGCTATGGTCGAATGATTCGAGATCGACAGCCCCCGATGCCCGAAGATCGAATATCAACGTTCGATTATCTAGTTCCTCTTCTTTTTTTAGAACCACGAAGGGCCGAGGACAGATCGAGTGGGCCCTTGTCCATGACCATGACGTACGACGAGATACACTGCAATGAACTCGAACAACTCGATCCAATCACGGAAACTCCGGGTAGCCGTCGAGGGAACGAATTCGCGTGCTGTCAGGTGGCAGACGCACAGATTTCACCGGTTATACCGAGCTGTTCAATTAAAATCGAACGCTGCTCTAAAATGCCCAGAATCAATTCCCCGATTCCTGAAGAGGCTAGCAGCCACCGGCTCACCATGGTTATCCCGCAGGATCAGGGTCCTGGATTGTGCATTTGTCGATCTTGCCGACCACGTCAGTTGGAAGGATACTCTGCCGCTCTATTGACGACGACACGGGAAAAGGCCCTGTGTCGTCGATCGTTGGATACTACTGGTAATGAAGTGGGAACAACATGTGGCACCTCGCGGCTAGCAGACGAATTTTTCGCGCAGGCAGGACCTTCGGATCGGGTAGGATCCCGAGCGCGGGGGAACCCACATGCCTCAGAAAGGACCGAAAGTCGAAGATCAGATCGCCCAGCGAGAGTTCGGAAAATGGCTCCCCTTATCGAAATCACTAAAATCGCCATAGCGGAAGCGCCACAAACGTCCCACAGTGGATCGAGGAGAGAAGAATGCGAGGGCCTGTTTGCAAGCAGACGGCTGTCACTCCGAACGCCTCCTAACAATCTTTGGAAAAATTGACTTTTCTCACGGCTCCGGAATACCCGCATACGCCTTCAGCCTCCATCCAGCAAGGTGAGAGAAGACTCCGACACCAGCCGAGCTCAGGAAGCTCGGAACTCCGGTATTTCACATCCAGTGAGTGAAACAAGAAGCCGGCGGTCGGCGGTCACGGACCTTACTCCCGTTACTCTGGGAAATCCCTGAGACGGTCTCTTGAATGATCCTCTCGGTCTCGGTAAATATCAAGAGCCCGATCAGGCTCGCCTGAATCCGATCCTCCGGATGACATCAGTGTTCAGGAATTCAAGGTTCTCTCTCGCCGCGTCTTTCCTCGTCGGCGATAAGGACTGTCGAACAATGGCATCCATTTCGGGGAGACCATATGAGAGACCTAGCGGGAGAGCAGAGGGATTTCCTTGTGCTTCAGCGTTGACGATTCTTTCTCCGGTCGGGCGACGGAAATTTCTTCAGTACGGAGATGATGCTCAATGAGTCTGGAACATTTGAGGATCCAGGCTTCATCGGGGTTCAATCGTTTGTGCGAACCGATGCCGACTGATTTATCCACTCTATTTCAAAAGATCATATGTGTTGCGGTGGCTCACCGCTTGGAGAACTCCGATTACGTCGAGCTCATGAGCCATTCTCGTGGTGAGCACCCGTGTGGTGGGACCAGGCGGAGTTCCTTAGTGAATACTGCAGAAATTGCCGGATCGGATCAGACACTGTTCGCTGGAGCTGCGATTGTCTCAACTAGATGGCGGATCCTCGATTTAGTTTCAACTTCACGTCGGAATCAACTGTGCGCCCCGCTAATCTTCTCTTTTTTCTGCAGCTACTCCGTCATGTCATGAGCAATCTAAATGCTACACCGTGGATTCGGTTGTATTCTCAGGAATCTGCTATCGATCGACGGGCTTATTATCGCTTCGTGAACGCGAGTCCTCGCGAAGTTGAATTGGCCTGGTACGATTACGACGGAGGGAAAGTAAGTGGAACTTCATTTTCCTAAGCGTCGAAGTGAAAGAGGGGTAAGGGGGGAAGGTAGGGCATTACCCAATGGTTCAATTACTCCAGCATTTTTCCCTGGGCTGAGGGGTCTGAGGGGGCATGATCTCCGATAAATCGAATTTTCAGCACATCTTCTACAACATACCGCCTCGAGCGTTCCGGGACATTGACACTTTCGAGGGCCATCCGTGGCAAGCCTTCGAAAAACATTATCACAGGGCTCTACTCCTGAGAGGTCGTTTCTTTCTCTGTGCGAAAAGGTCCGAAAGACTGACCCGTCTTCAAGTTCTCATCACTGAGCCAGGTAATCTCCGTTCGACCACCTTCGATGATTGATCGCGCTCTAGGAGTAGGCGCGGAGAGATGCCTAGAGAAATATTGTAATTTCCGGTCAAAAGTCTTGGCTCGGGTGAAGAAAACAACAAACAACATCTAAGGGCATGTGTTTTCATTTCAGTATATTCCCTGAAATCCTTGTGTTTGGGCGTACTCTGCCTTTCAGCGTCGGACGACGACGTTCAGGAGCTACCGAGGAATTTGATACGGGATCTAGTCACCTACCGAGTCTATAGATTCACTTGTTAATCACGGAGCCCGATACAGATCCACTAATGGCTGAGACTGTGGTGGTGCGAGCAGCCCGGCCGCGGAAACCCCAAGACGACAGCCTGAACACGACAGAGACGGAGGATCTAGAAGTGGGCTTTGTTCAGAATGGACGTCACAGTTGGACTCATGAGCCTCCTCCACAGCCGCCCCCACCGAACCTCCAGCCGAACAACTTGAATCAGCAACTCGAAGAGGAAGAGCTCAAATACGGAGCCAAACACGTGATCAAACTCATCATTCCCGTTTCTCTCTGTATGCTGGTCGTGGTCGCGTCGATAAACACGGTCACGTCGCTGACAGAAAGCAACGGCCAGTACTTGCTGTACACTCCATTCCACGATCAGGACGTGGACACGAGGACGAAAGTTTGGCAGAGCTTCGCCAATGCCCTCATCCTGATGAGCGTCATCGTGGTGATGACGGTGCTCTTGATCTTCCTGTACAAACATCGATGCTACAAAGTGATCCACGGCTGGCTGATTCTCTCCAGTCTCCTGCTACTGTTCCTCTTCTCCTACATCTATGCATATACGGTTCTCTCGAACTACAACATAGCCGTGGACTATTTCACGGTAGCCATGTGCGTCTGGAACTTCGGAATGGTGGGAATGGTATGCATCCATTGGAAGGGTCCGCTCCTGCTCCAACAATCCTACTTGATCGTCATATCGGCCCTGATGGCCATGGTCTTCATCAAGCACATGCCGCCGTTCACGGTCTGGACGGTTCTCGGGGTAATATCCGTATGGGATCTGATCGCCGTGCTCTCGCCAAAGGGACCGCTCCGCATTCTGGTGGAAACTGCTCAGCAGCGAGAAGAACCGATTTTTCCGGCCCTGATCTACTCGTCTGCGATGGTGTGGCTCGTAGGAATGGCTGATACGACGACCACTTCAGATCCGGACACCGAAGCTCAAAACAGGAGGAACAGACAGCTGTCTGAAACTCAGACCGATCCCTCGACCGAGGAACAACAGAACGAGCCCTCGGCTACTCGCCGAAGACAAGCTCAGGCGCAGCAGCCAGCTCTGACGGGCCGAGGTCCCGGTTCGGATGCACGAGCCCGTACGGCTCGCGGAGCTCACCAAGACGCGCCGGGAGAGAACGCTCGAGCGGTGGAGATCGTCCACCAAGAAGAGGAACGTGGAGTGAAACTTGGATTGGGCGATTTTATTTTCTACTCGGTCCTCGTCGGTAAAGCATCATCCTACGGCGATTGGAACACCACACTGGCTTGTTTCGTGGCCATATTGATCGGGTTGTGTTTGACCCTCATCCTCCTGGCGATTTTCAGAAAAGCGTTGCCCGCGCTTCCCATATCCATAGCCTTCGGGCTGGTTTTTTACTTCGCGACATCGACTCTGGTTCAACCTTTCACAGCCATTCTGGCACAACAGCAAGCATACATATGAGGCTCTTTTGTAAATAGCATTTTATGACCGGGAAAAAATCGACGGCGCCAATGTTTCGCAAAATGTCTGGCTTGGACGAATATTTCAATTAGAACGGGTTTCCCGATCCGAGAGATCGTCAACTCTAGCCCACGTTCCCCAAACCTTTTTCGGTAAGAAACTTTCAAGGATCAAATACGTATGGGAAGATCATCAAAATGCGCTCCGAAGGTGCCGAATGCTCCAGCGCAAGGTGGCGGGGAACTCGGGGAGAACTCGGAGCTCGAGGCGGATATCATTATGTTGCCCAGGGACGTTTCCTGTTAACTGTCCGGCGCATCTGACACCGCTCTATTTTTATCCAATGACGTATGCAATGACATTGTAAAAATATTCTTCGAATAAAGATCCACAGGGTGCTCAAATTCTCAGTGTACTATCTAGTCGGTTCTTGAAAAATTCGGACAAGGGAGCTCATCCCTTACCGTTATCGCGAATGGGATACCGTTTCGAGGTCCTTACTCCTTCTTCGCTGGTGTCGATTGGGAGTGCACACGGAGTAGCAGAATATGGTTCTTAGCAGTTTGGAGGGGGGATAGTTTGTCTGCGTAGCTTTCCGAATTGAAACTGGTGCCCTACTCGGCGATTCCTCATGGGCGAGAAATGGCTAGTATTCAATTGGAGTCCGACTGATAGAGCAGGATACTAATCGACAATGTTCGATCCCGCTAGATTACAATACCGCCGATCGCCGGTGCTGTAGGGAGACTCGAGATCGCTGTTCGGTGATTTCGGAAGCCGGAAACACCAAGCAGGATCATCATGAGATCGCTCGGAGTAGGCAGTCACTCTGAAGAAAGACCCAAGGTGGATGTCTTAAATTCAAAGCCTTAGCGAGCCGACTCGGGATGTGAACAGGGTCCGCAGGCCATGCTGAGCTTCCCGTTACAGTCGGGGGGGACTTCGATATTCGGGAGAAGCAAAGTCCCGGTGTCGTCGTGGCGTAGAAGGGAAAAATATCCCCTTCTCCTCGATTCTCACGATAAGTTGCACCTGATCCATTTGAAGGCTCAGTTTCCGGAATATCCCTCTTCTCTCAACCTCGTCCCGCGTTTTCCGGACTTTTCCCTCCACCTACTCGTGGAGTTTCCTCGACCCTCTTCCTTCATCCCTGAGTCCTGGAAACCCCGGTGGTCCGCACAATGCCACGGTTCCCAGCGTTCCCTCACAGGGACCCGAGGCGTGTGCGGTTCATTCAGGCACGACCGCGACGCGGCGCTCGGCGGTTGCGACACAGAGCGCCCGATGGACTCGCAAATGACCGTACGGATCATTCTCATCATCTCATCCGCGGTGATCAATGAAAAATATTAACTACCCGGGGCTTGGGACCCATTCATATCTACGGTTTCCTGATGAGATAAGCTACGTCTTGTCGAGGGGCGTTCACGGCATGCATTCTGTTCGTCGAGGGAAGTAGACAGTCCCTCCCTCCCCCAGATCAGTCCGGAAAAGCATCCTCGTCCCCTTGCGACTGGATTGGTCGTACGTCCGTTCGTTTTGAATCTGGCGCGACTGAAAAACCCTTCTCTCCCTTGGCTTGTCAGACCCATGTCGATGCCGGCGCAAGCCCGAACATGCCGGAGTAAAGAATGACTGTCGCCTAGAGTTGGTCAGTCGCGCGACGGTTATCGAGGGACGGACCAAATCCGGAAACCTCATCTATGGGGTGCGGTCTCAGGGGCAAGGCTGGAGGCACAACACTCGAAAACGGGAGAGGACACAGTTTTCGAAAAGAGTGATGCGCCTCGAATCTTGTCCTCCCTCCCTGCTCGGCCCTCCGCGCCACCGAACTGCCCGGACCTGAAATTTCATGTTCTCGCGCTTTACGCTAAGGATCGGTGCGGCGGCGCGGCCCCGCTCGATCGCATCTGCGAGAATTTCCCCGGGACATGATCAAGCCAAGGAGGGCTCGAATTTTGAATATAGGAATCATCCCAACTATTGATCTGCAGGTTTTCCTCAATTCGTTCCCCGCTGTCCTACCGTTCTGAAGTTTCATCAGAAACTCGTTCTCGAGTCGATTGGAGAACCCTGGCAAGGATGACCTCGCATTGAGGAATTCCGCGACAGAATTCCATGCATGACGACGGAAAAATGAGGGGGGGGGATTTCTTCCGCAATTCGGAGCCGAGTGTCCAGCTCTGAAAGCGGCACCACCAGTACTTTTTATGAGGGAGAATATTCGAGGCAACATCTAAGCACGAGAGTGAATGAAACTACTCCGACCGTACGGGAACCAGCGATCGATGAACGATCACCGTACTAACGATTGGTCTCTCGAGACCTCACATCCGCCCCCTACCTACCTGGACAGATCTGACTGTCAGAGAGCTGAGTAGTCAGCATTGGGGGAAATCCACCAGCCGAGAATCCTTTCCCGGGGCACTCTCTCCAAAAGCGTCTGTTGTTCCAAAATGGCGGCTGCCTTGTGTGTGGTGATGGCTGCTAGCTGGATGTTAGAGAAGCAGCATAGCAGTAGCAAACACATTCACCAGCCGCGGTAGAAGCAGCAGCAGCAGCGACAGTCGTCAGACCGGTAGACAGTCAGTCAGTGAGTGGGACAGCCTGGCAGGCAGTCGATTCATTTGTCTGGCCGGCGATCGACGTGTGGTGATGGTGTTGGTGCAAGTGCAGGTGTTGTTGACGCTGTAGACGTCGGTCGGTCGCTCGATCGGTCGCTCCGTCGGTCGGTGTGCACTAAGCAACAAACCGATCTGGAATCGAGCGGAGCACCACCAGGCGCACAAGGAAGCTGCTTGCGGGAACGGAACGCGACTACCATTGTGCAAGAGTGCTTCATCTGCTGCTGCAGGAAACCTGCTCCGTGTGCTGGAGCTGCAGGAGCGCTCTTCCTGCAAGCAGTGATCGTGAGCACGTCCTGTCGCTCGGAGCCGATCGCTCACATCTGCTCGGACCGTCGACGACGAATGTAAACTCTGTGCAGAAAAGAACTCGCTGCGTGTGTCGATCGAGTGCAGCGTCAGGGACGTCATGATAGTGCAGTGGATCCAGGTCCAGACGAGCACGACGAAGACGACGACGTCGAAACCGACGATGACGGGAAGAAGCGTCGTCGCATAGACGAGAACCCGGTCCACTGGCCGGTGGGTTAGTTGGTTGGTTGGTTGGTCGGCTGGCTAGCTGACCGACTGGCTGGTTGGCTGGCTAGATAGCTAGCTAGCTGGCCGATTCCATCGGTCGGCCGTGCAAGCAAGCAACGTGCAATGGGGGCTCAACAGGGCAAGGATCTCCGGCCTTCAGGAGGGAGCTCGTCCTCATGCGGCAGCGCTCCGAGGTCGACGAATCTCAAACGCAAGAATACTCGAATGGACCAGCAACGGTTGAGCTCCCAGCTGACCTCAACCGCTCCAAATGTGTTTGCTGAAAACTACGGTGAGTGATCGATAGTCCAGTCGTGCGAAGGGGAGAACAGCGAGGCTGACCCTCCGTCTGCGACCCCGCACTCAGGTGCTTTCGAAGCTTTCGGTCGATCGGAGTCCAGAATGGTCTCGATGAGATTGTCGAGGGTCTCCGAGAAATTTCTCATTTGTTGCAAGCCGAGCTTCTCTCATTATCAATTGGCAAGAAGCGTCTTGGAGCCCCTCACGCCGGAAATGCTCCGTCTACCGGTCGCGAGGCTTCATCGGGGAGCGATTTTCCTCCTTTTCCTCCGACGTGGATTCGACGCAAATCGTGAATTGAGAACTCGTTTCCGATTGGCCGAAGACGACGAGCATGTGTCGGACGCTTGCGATAGACGCTCTGAGCTATTGCCGAAATACTTCTGTAATCAACGGCTGGAACGACAAGGATCGGAGAACAAACAAGACGGGCTGATCAAAGAGATCAACCCGCGAGACGATATAGTATTCATGAGCAGCATTGATGAGCAGCCGATATCACCCCGCTGTCGTGCCTCTCCATCACTCACCTCCTTTCAGACAATGCATTCCCAACATTGTGGTCTGTACTTCGAACTTAATGTGGGAGGCTGTCGGGGGATGACCGGGAATTGAGCGAGAATGGGCACCACATGTCGAACACGCACCGCGCTCGACTGGTGCTCCAAGCATGAGCCCCAATTCAACTCAATTCAGCTCCGAGCGATTGCGGCGACCAGCTCGACTCTGAATGGGAGTTCCAAATCATCGGGAAGATGAATACAGAAAACTCCTGAAGGCAGGGAAAAAGTATTCCGGTTGACCAAAGTGGCTCTCGAGAATGAAAATCAGTAAATATATACAGATTCCGGATTCCCTGAACGACAAGCGTATCTATAACGAATTCTCTCGACTCTCGTGGTGTCGTGACTGATCTGAATCACTTGGAAAAATCGAATCGTCGTTCCGAAAATTCCAGATACGGCCGCCTGCCGTTTTGGTTCCTGTCGGCAACAAAAACAGCCCCGATTCGAGTGCGCGGGAGCCGGCCGCCGCGTCGACGCTAACAGAGCTTTGGCTTTCCCAAAGCTGACTCAGTCAGAATCTCGGTGACGAAGGTGTCTAATCGACACAAAGTTCAACAGATGATGTAATGCTCAGCTGGAAAAAGCTGCAGCGTCTCCCGACTCTGGCTCCGAGCGCTGGCCACACTCCCGACACATTGGAAGAAAGTTTTTCTTTCTTGCCGTCGAAACTCGACTGCAGTGAGCTCGGCCAGCCCTCGTCGTCGTCTAATTACGTCGACGGGACATTCTGATTCTGGCGACTGCCGGCTGAGCGACCGTTCCCCACTGCCGGAATTCTGTTCGCTTGAAAAAGTTCGGACAAAGTTAACATTCGCTCGCAGCGACACGGTGCGAACAAAGTTTCATCGAAAGAGATCAAACCGACGCTTCTCCAATGGACCCGGCCGTGCGTGCGCTCGCGGATTCCGCCTCCGATAAAAAACAATAATTCGAGGCTTCCCTCGCTTTCCCGCTGCCTCCAGATTGGCCGGCAATTTTCGCCGAAACGTATCGATTCTGGGCGCCACCGCTGAGCAACAAACATCCCGGAACGTTGTTCTCTGATTTGCCGAAAGCGTTCCAAACAACGGGATTCCGGCACTGGCACTCACTCAGCGGTTGTCGCTACTTCGACAGAATTAAGCCACGGGCTCGAGCCCCCGCGAGAAAGTCCTCCTTCCGAACGTCTCCCACGGGACCCGATGTCTGGAACACGCACACTTAAGCCGCGAGCGGGTCCGCGTCTCAAGTGTTGATGGAATTTATTTCCCCGATGCGAGAGTCCGATGACAGCTTGGAAGTTTTTCCTAAGATTGTCGGAGGTTCTATGTAGTTGCCGCCGGCCGCGAGCTACCAACATCCCCAGAAAGAGATAAAGCGTCGTTTTGGTGCCGCTCGACTTGTGAGTCGTTGTGTGTGAATGTTGCATATCTGTGTTGGAGTCCTATTCTTCACCATCAGCGGAAAATCCAGGCTGACGAGCTCTGTTCGACAACGCCGACGTTGACCGCGACGTCGGAAACGTCGTAAGAGAGTGAGGGAGGAAAGTAGGGAAACAAAAACAAAAAAAGAAACATTTGCTAGCTTAAATGCACCATCGTCGTCGATCCCCATCTACCCGAAAGCCTTCCGCAGTGTTAGCCAATCGCGACCGGCCGTAATTACGTATAATCATCGAGTCATCCGCATCTCGTAAACAGCTTTGATTCGGTGTCACGATATCGTTTCAGCTGGATAGACTCCTACAGGATTTTCAATTAGACAAAGACGAACAATGCTGCGCAGATGTACATATGTATCGGAGAGATTCCGTTTGCGGAAACTGTCTCACCGTGTACGTTTGAGCATATTTCGAAGGCTGAAGAGAGATATTCGTCCAAATCTATTCCGGGTATCTGTAGGCAGAAAGGAACGAAACTTCGATTGCAACGCAGAACGAACGTGCGTGCGGAGCGTCCCCGTCTGCACGAAATGGGGCGTCGACGACTACGCCAGCCTGGTAATTGGGCGCGAGGCGCACCTGCACGCGGAGCTCGAATTCTCCTTCGGCCTCCTCTGCTGGCATTGTGTCGAAGAGCCGTCCTTGGCGGAGGTCGAACTTCCGGAAGCGACGTTCCTTCTCTTTTCCTCACTCCTGAATCCAACGCGTCGTTCCGTCATTCAGTATGGTACTAGCGATGCATCCGAAAACCATTCAGAATGAGCACTCTTGAAATTGATCACCGACCCACTCGGACGAGCCTGTCGCTTTGACATCGTGGCTTCAACCTGGAGTTTCGCCGCGTTCGCCTCTCCTCTCGTCTGTCTTCCAGTCCGACTGCATGTTCTCTTATCTCTCCGCTATGGTGGTTTTCATAAGAGCTCGAGGCAATTATGTTGAGGCGGGAGCACCGAGGAGTCAACCACGAGATAAATATGGACCCACTCAGTTAAGAACCGAGTTCGGGTGCGCGTTCTTATGTGGAGGTTCACAACACCGTTTATGACGAAGTGAGTTGATGCGGAAAAATTGTTTATGGTGGCTGTGGATCTTCCGTAGACCACCCTCCCGATCGGAAATTTCGGTTTGGGCGGCTGTCTTCCGCTGAATGTGTTTTGTATCATGCGTGCGGGAAAACAGCGAAACCTGGGGCCACAAGTCATTAAGCGGAATAGTGTTTCTTTTTTTATTCATGCGGGGCTCTTGCATCGCAGCCGCATCTACTCTCCCGTCCGATACTAGAACTTCAACAAGTGTGCAAACGGCAGAATTGAGAGGGATGTCGACTATTGCGGATGATTTGCTCCAGCCGGCCTTAATTCGGATTCGTTGCGATGGGAAATCTTGCGTCGGAGCATCTGATAAATCCGCAAGCGTTTCGTGGGCGTTCGGGAAGACGGAGATGATGCTCGCAACCAACGCTTACTGGGGCAATGACAGAATTTCGCTGTCATCCGAATTTTCTCTGATCAACCCAACAAAGGAAGTCGCAGTTCACGCCGAATGGGAATTCGAACGTGGGGAATGGAAATCTTTGTCTTGGGATGTCCTGGTTTCGTTCCCGAGCTACGACTGCATAATCCCAAAGCAGTGTCTGACTGATCGGATCCCGCGAGCTATGATTTTTCCCGGCATAGGTCCATCCTGTTTTCTGATTCCCTGATACAGGATCACAGGATACAGTTCCGCTCTAGTCCTCAGACTTCCTTCCTCCGACTCTAATCAACGGCGATTTTGGTTTCAGATTTTTTCTGTGATCAACTAGGTCTGCAGCATCGACCTTTACCCGATGTTCCTCCGGTCGGTGCAATCCCTGATGAGCTATGGGCCACGGCGAATCCATCTTGGACATCGAAAGAAAACCTGCTGGACGACAACGACCCGACGAGCTCCGCAGAATCGGACGTTTTCGTGGCTCTATACGATTTCCAAGCAGGAGGGGATAATCAACTATCGTTGGCGAAAGGCGATCAGGTAAGGCATCCGAAGCTCCCGATGGTCTCATGAAAACATTCGTCTCGATCGACTCTCGCGAGAGACGCGAGGATGAATATAATCATTTTTCTGAACCCCACGGCTGTCTTCCAGATCAAAGTGCTGTCGTACAACAAGACCAACGAGTGGTGTGAGGCACAGTCTCGTGGCGGGCAAGTGGGTTGGGTTCCCGCCAACTACATTACACCGGCGAATTCCTTAGAGAAACACTCGTGGTACCACGGGCCGATATCACGCAATGCAGCCGAGTACCTTCTGTCGTCCGGAATCAACGGCAGCTTTCTCGTCCGAGAGAGCGAGTCCAGCCCGGGTCAGAGATCGATTTCACTCCGATTCGAAGGCAGGGTCTACCATTACAGGTTAGTGATCCACCTAAAACAAACACCCAGCGGTCAAGAATTCGAGCCCGTTGATTCATTAAAGCCCGTTTATTCGATCCGACTGTAACTTGGCTCGCACGAGGTCGACGGAACGAATGAGAGCTGACTCGAGAGCTTCCGTCGTTACAGAATCAATGTGAGTGAAGAGGATAGCAAAGTCTACGTGACGTCGGAATGTCGTTTCAATACACTAGCGGAACTGGTTCACCACCATTCCCTCCACGCCGATGGACTCATCACGCAGCTGCTCTACCCAGCACCAAAGAGAAACAAACCCGCAGGTGGGTTCGGGGCTCGCACTTGCATTTTTGGATCAAATTCCCCCCGGCCGTGGAAACTTCACTTCAAAACATATATCGGTTCTATTGCTCACGTGAATATTTTTCCTCCGCAGTATTCGCACTGTCTCCGGAACCGGATGAGTGGGAAATAGACCGGACGGACATCGTGATGAAACACAAACTGGGAGGTGGGCAGTACGGAGATGTGTACGAGGCTACTTGGCAAAGGCACAACATCACCGTCGCTGTGAAGACGCTCAAAGAGGACACGATGGCGCTGAACGATTTCATGGAAGAAGCCACCATAATGAAAGAGATGCGACATCCGAACCTCGTCCAACTCATCGGAGTATGCACCCGAGAGCCCCCGTTTTTCATAATCACAGAATTCATGCCTTACGGCAATCTACTGGATTATCTGCGCAACTCGTCGCCGGAAAGCATCGACGCCGTCGTCCTCATGCACATGGCAACCCAGGTTGCTTCAGCCATGGCTTATCTCGAAAGCCGGAACTTCATCCACAGAGACCTAGCGGCGAGAAATTGTCTTGTGGGAGAGAATCATCTCATCAAAGTCGCCGATTTCGGTCTCGCGAGACTCATGAGGGACGACGACACGTATACGGCTCACGCCGGTGCCAAATTCCCGATAAAATGGACCGCACCCGAGGGTTTGGCGTTCAATAAGTTCTCGACAAAGAGCGACGTCTGGGCGTTCGGAATCCTTCTCTGGGAAATCGCTACTTACGGCTCCTCGCCGTATCCGGGCGTAGATCTCTCCGAAGTCTACCGTATGCTCGAGTCGGGCTACAGAATGGGCTGTCCCCCTGGGTGCCCTTCGAGCGTTTACGACCTCATGCAGAAATGCTGGTCGTGGAACGCCAGCGACCGACCGAGTTTCCGCGAGATCCTGGAAATGCTCGAGCACATGTTCCAGCATTCTTCGATCCAAGAAGAGGTCGAACGTCAACTAGAGAATCAACAAAGTCACGAGGACGACGTTCCGCCGCCACCGGCCCCCGTCGTGCTCACGACGCCCAAGAAGGAGTCGCCTATTCAAAAAATGGGCATTGTGTTACCGAGTGCCAACGCTCCCTCGAAAGGAGTCCAGATGCGGAAGAGCAAGGCGAAGCAGGCTCCCGCCCCGCCGAAACGGACGAGTTCTTTCAGAGATAGTTCGTGTGTGCCTGACGAAGGAACGACACCATCTACTGAAAATCTCGGCAGCCTGGAGAAAGTTTGTGAGAACGACGAGGACGAACCAGTTCGGTTGCGAACTCAACATCATCATCAGCAGCAGCAGCAGCAACAGCTTGGCTTGAAATTCAGTGCAGCGCCTAGAAGGGTCAATGATGAGCAGGTTCAAATAGCGGCTTTGGACGTACAGAATGTCAAGCAGGCCATCAACCGTTATGGTACCTTGCCAAAGAACGCCCGTATCGGCGCCTATCTCGAATCTCTCCGCCAGCACGGCCTACACACGGGAGTGCAGAACGCGCCTCCCGTTCCCGTGAAAAGCGGAGACTTCGTGCATTATTCCGTTTCGAAACACGCCCCATCGTCCACCCCAACCGATCAGCAGCAGCAGCAGCACCAGCATAGTGATGAGAGTTTGTCGACGCCGTTCTTCCTCCGGCAGAAGTCTGATCTCACTCATAACAAGGGCGGGATTTCTGACGAATTCAATCAAAAATGGAAACGGGACTCGAGGACAGAGCAGGACGTCAGCGGAGCGTCGTCGTTCGCAGCGAGCTTCCTTAGAAGGTCGATGAAGAAGTCGCCTTCCAAGTCGAGCGATCTGCCGCCGCGCAAGAGTGGAAGCGTCGATCATTTAGACTCGATGCGCGAAGAGACCACCATCAGCGTGAGCTTGAGCAGCAACAGCAGCTCGAAAGACAAAAAGAAGAAGGAGAAGAAACACCGCAAAGAGAAGTCCGAGGAACGAAGGACAGCGCCCGGTCCCAACCCGCAGGTGCAGAAGCAGATGGACGAAGCAGGAGCCACAGTCCGCCCGCTCTTTACGGAGCTTTTTGAGAGCTTGAAGGCAAAAGCTGCCAAAAAGTCCGCAGAAAGTGCGCTGCTCAGTAAACTCCAACAGGAGAACAAATCACCGAAACTCGCCGTACGCAACGGAAACGGCGAAGTTGAGCGCAGGGTCTCGTCTGGAAATTCCTCCGGCGAAGAGGAGAAACGCCAAAGCGCCGGGAGTATCTCGAGCCTCAAGAAGCTCTGGGAGGGAACAGGTAGTAATTCCCAATCCATGATTCCCAATTCCCAAAACCCAGTAGCAAACCAAATCAGTCCGGGTCAACAAAAAATCGGTGGAGGAGGCGGAGGAGGCGGCGGCGGGGGGGGAATCGGTAACGGGCGTCCCGATACGCTCAAAACAGCAAAATCCGTCGATGTCAAAGGCAAGGGCAGAACGCCCGATGGACCGAACCAGCCCGGAGGGATCAGCACCGAGAAACCGGTCATACCGACGAAGCCATCGCTCATCAAGAGCAAGTCAATGGGTGAGTGTGTATTCTACCTATGCCAGGTTGAGAGCTTAAGGGCTCGCGCTCGTGGTCAATAAGAGCTCAGTTTTTCGGGATTACCACGGCTCGAACACGTCTGAAGATGGGTATTCAGGTGATCACAGTTTTAGGCATCGGTTCCGTGACCGGGAAAAAATTGGCGCCGAAACCCCCGGTACCGTCCTCGAAACCATCGGTCGACAACTCCGGGGACACCGTGGCGAACACGAAGGCATCGATTATTGAAACATCCGCAGCTATAACACAGGCCATCAGCACGCTCAAAAACTCCAGCTCGGTCACGTCTTCGCACATCATCCAGCTATCTGATAAGGTAGTGAGCTCGACAGATCGGAGTAGTTCCCTGAGAGAAATTTCCCCCGTCTCTTGCAGAACGGACAGACTTCCCCGGTTCGGGAACTAAGCTCGATCCTCTCTGAACCTTCCAGGTCCAGTTGCTGCACACACCTTGTCTGACATACGCGGAAACGATTCCGCCCGCCGGTCGTTTCAAGTTCCGCGAGCTCATGAGCCGACTGGAAACTCAAGGAAACTCCCTGCGTGGCACAACGAACAACAACGTCACCCAGACGGCGAAGACCCTCGATGATCTGCACAACACCGTCCGCGATCTCGTCAACCTCGTACAGCGATGAGGCTCGATGATTTCAAGCGAAGTGTTTTTCTTTCTCAAGTCTTGTCCTCGGCTCGACATGACGGAGGTGTGACGAGTCGCTTACCTTGAAGAGACGACGGAGCAGCCGCTTCTTTTCCGCTTCGGCAAGGAGAGAACACTCCATTCTGAGTGAGAGGAGAGTAGTGAATCCCGAAAATCAAACTTCGCTCTGCCAGCAGTGGCGGCTTTCACGCGTTCTAGTCGCATGTTGTAAATACCTAGTTTGCAGTGCGTGTGTCGTCCCGGTCCTGATGCCGCCGGGCTCTCGACCCGAGAACGACGAATCATCTGGACGAGCGGGCAAGCTTTAACTACCGTCTTCGGAGGAGGACTTCACGCAGAACTAGCGAAACTGCCCGTCTCTTGAAACGTTTTCGCCCTGCGATCCGTACTTGTCCTCGGCCTGGAAATTAGAAGAAGAGCGAAAACCTCATTTGTTTGATTGCGAACGCATCAAGCGCCAAAGGTTGTCGACAGCTGGGCAATGGTCTTCTAGATTCCGATTGTAGATAATTGCCCCTAGCGGGCAGCTCAAGGGCCGTTCCGTGCCCGTGTGACACCACACATGAAACAAGTGAACTCGTCGATATCGACTATGGAGTAGTAATATATATTCCAGATCTATCGAGAGGCAGAAATACCCGACGGGACGTCCGATAGCCGCTCCGGAAGCCCCTAGGACATTATTCCATTAGCTCGTCCTAGATGGCTCGTTTCGGGGAAGCTTCTGTCTCTCTCTTCCTTTCTCTCTCCACTGATTCGAAACGAAGTGAGTGAACGAGATGCGAGTTGATGACTACGCCCTTCTCTCGGTTATCTCAGACAGATTATTTTTTTGGACGAGGGAAATTCTCTGTCATCACCTAAAGAAATAAGTTTTTCCGCGGTGTCCGACGGTGATTGAGCAGCGCCGCGTGTCGGCCAGGCCGCCTGCGATCGGCCGACGTATCGCGTTGGTTCAAATCACCGCCACCACCGCAATCGAGGTCTGCAGAATTCTGTGAATTACTTTAATGTCTCGGTCGTTTCTCATCCGTCTATGAGTAAGCCTAAGAATCTCTCTCACTGAGCCGAGTACCCGTTCCGAGGGACTTCCATTCCTTCTGGAAGCGCCCACTTGTCAACTGTACAGATCGAGATCTAATCTGTATGCATTCGAGTATTTTCTGAACTCCCCTCCTCCCCCATATCTTCTTCATCTTCTCCACGTATCTGCGCTTCTGTCGATCCCGAGGGGATGAGACCAATGAAACCATCATTTCCACGCTCGACTCCTCGAAGATATTCGTGAGATAGGAGTCGAGGAGATTTTCCAGCTCGGGGAATGGGGTCAAGGCGATCGATTTCTGTCTAGGTAGAAATTCCGAGTCGAGTCATAAACAAACACACGGAAGGAAAGAAATGGAGAATTATTCAAAAGGATCGAAGACTAGGTGTATATACACAAATATCTTTTGAATGATTTAGATGCTGATTGACCAAAGTGAACGAACAATAAACGAACCCTGAGTATATCTTTATTGAGAAGAAATCCTCCTCAATCACTCGAGGCTCCATAGTAATTCATTCTTGGTGATCGTAGTCCGACTTCCGGCGAGGCCGGTTGAAGTCTGAGTCTGAGAGCGCTAGGTAAGGGTCACAATATTTGGCGGGAACGATGTTAGGGGGGTTAGCGGAGGTTCGGAAGCGCAATTCCTCTCGGTTTGGCGGTAGTCTTCTGATGTCATATGAATGCGAAATGGAAGTTTACAAGATTTACGCAAGAAATCCGCGAAGGCTTCTTAAATGCTCGATTTAGCCGCTTCACTTGGGAGCAGACTTCGGATCGGATGAGTTGTAGCATTTCCTGCAGACGGCCATGTACTTGTCCGTGCCGCCGATGATCTCGACCTGAATTGAGATCATGCAAGTTTGTCTGAAGATGAAGTTTTTCGCGGAGTTGGGGAGGGAATCTCCCGATCATTATACGTATCGTTGGTTGCTAGTCACTGACCTCGGTCTCGCTGCCGATTCTTTTCGTGAACGCAGCTTCTCTATAGCAAACCATACAAACGGCCATCAGTTTTATGATGGATTCAGAGAGGGGCAGCAATTTCATGATGTTCGGGAATCCTTCTCGCTGATAGGTGCCGTCCAGGGCAGCGACGATCACCACTTTACCGAGACCGGCCATCTTCTCGGCGAAGCAGACCACATCTGGGAACTTTGGAAGCATATCGATGAAAAAACGATGAGCTCGAACGATCCAAACTATAGTTCCGTATCTGAGAAGTTAGTCCAATCGCCGTAGGTATCTGATCGCAAACTTCACCGGGAAAAAGTCCGGAATTGGGCGGAATACTCACGAACTGGCCCTCGTCAACGCCGATGACGTCGAAATTCAACGCTGCTGCCTCCACATCTGCCAATCTCAAGCACACTGAAGCTGTCATTTTCGCTTGGTCGTGGGTCGATACGTTTTCCGCATCATAGCGATCGTCCTTAGCGTATTTTATGAGGTAACATCGATGATTTGAGACATCATACCGTCGCATGCGACGGATTAGCTCTGTTCTGAAAGTGGAAGATGGTGTGTCTCTCGAAAGAGCGATCCACTCATCCCATCGGATCCGAATATGGTAGGCGACGCGTCGCGACATCGACTCGCTGAGTGTTATCTCACGTTTTTCCGGAAAACATGGGACCGACTATGAGTTGGATGTGGCCATCGTTGCTTGCACCGTGAGACGTCAACCGCGCGCCATTCGATTCCCCCAAGACATGCATCTGGAAAGCCGATTTGGGCGATGAGGAAAATCACCTGCGGGCCGAGCAAGCAGCAGGCCACCGGCCCCTACCCTCTCACTCATGGACGAGCAGAGCTGCCTGGATATGTCAGGCATGTCCCGCTCGAGGCCAATCTGCGTCAACAAGGGGGGGGAGCATTGCAGATGAGACCTCTCTTCTCGCCTCTTCTCGCGAGTTCTCTCCTAGTTCTGTCGAATCTAGGGAAGCCGCGAGAGTTCCAGCATCACTTCGACTGCCTCGAGTTGGATCTCGGAGCGCGTACTGAATAGAACTCTCATGGATAGACAAAGTTTTTCTCCTGTCTGTCAAATTCCCGAAATCTAACTGAAGAGGTTGGAGTAAAGGGGGACCCCGATCCCGAGGATATTGAGCAGCGGAAATTTTACCTTTCTGAAGATATGCGTCGGAAACTCGCTTGACAATGAATGAAATATCCGCAGATCGAGTCACCAGCGACGCGCGCTTTACCCTCACCCACGGGAGCACAGTGTCAAGGCGGCGCCATTTTTCGAACGCAGCGGCTCCGAGCTGTCAACCGGTCGCATGAACAGGATCGGGCCCACAGCACCCGCGTCCTTCAGGGTCTGTCCCAAACGCACAGCTTGGGAACGCGAGAACTTCAGGGTCTCCGCGCACCCTCTTCAGCGGGTAAATCGCTTGAGCTCGCGTGCCTCGTCCCGGGTGTCTGGCAATCAGCTGATCGACCGGCAAACTTCTATGCGTTTACGCCGCCTTGAGCGAGCTTCTATGCAGGACGTTCCTCTCGAAACAAGTCGAATCTATCAGTTGACGGAGGGACGGAGGGTGTATGTGTGATTCGCCTAAAATGAATGTTCTCGTTTGCGCGCGGTGACCGGCTATGTATCCGACACCGCTGGCCTCCCCAGGCCTGTCGTTCGCGGTCCACTCATTCTTAGCCTCACCGCACGCTCGGAACACCTGTGGTCACAACGGGTTGCCGTTGACACCTAACTCCGTGAGGATACTCGGCCGATTCCAAGCACTCAAGAAACTCACGCACCCCTGTCTCGCAACATATCTGGATCTGCAAAGAGGCAAGCACGAGCGAGTGGTGATTGTCTGTGAGTCGTACGAGCGAAATTGTCAGAAGCTGCTGTCGTCCGACAAGAGTCCGACAGCAGAGATCAACAGCTTCGCGCACTTCGACGGATCTCCTCCGGACTATCCCGAGGTTGTCCGGAGGATTTTCTACGAGAGTTTACACGCATTGGCCTATCTCCACCGGCAGAATTTCGTTCATCACTCCGTGTCTCTCGAGAGCATCCAGCTCACAGACGCCCTCCACGTCAAGCTCTCCAATCATGGTACCTACTTCATTACGGAAAACGGTGCTTGCGTTCCCTTCCCGATCGGTTTGCCGAAGTATCTTCCACCCGAAGTTCTTCTGGATCCCAAGGGTCTGCACTCGCCGAAAACGGACCTGTGGTCACTCGGGATCGTATTACTCGAGTTGGCCTTAAGGAAAGAGCTGTTTAACTTTGAGCTCGAAGAGCAGATAGCTCTTGTGTTCGAGTGTGCGTCGAGCGAGAAGCCAGTGATGTGTATACTAGAACGGCACAAACTCGTGTACGAGTACCTCTGCTTGTCGGAGCAGGTTCGAGATGCCATTGAAGCGTGCCTATCCGTGCCTCTGGAACACCGACCCTCGTCCGAGGAACTTCTAAGTCATCCGTACTGTGATATGCAAATTGAGATGCTCGAGGAACCGCCAAAAGGTCTGCCATCACACGAACTCATCGGAGCCGATCAGATCGAGGAGTGTATTGAGAATAGTTCCCAGCTGCCCGAAGCGTGGGAAGTTCTCAATCTTCACGAACTTTATTATTTTTGGAGACTGACCGGTGAGTGCAATCGCCAGATTTATTTATAACTCGAATGCTCTTCTGACAGGCCCCGAGGGTCTAATTCGAAAGGAATCCACGACTTTCTTCCGTTCTCACGGTTGTCACTCCTTTCAGGTGGAGACGCTCTCGCTGAGATATCCAAGCAACGAGATTATATTCGATCACGACCTGCGATTTTCGGCCTGCCCAACTTGACGCTCATCGAAGGCGAGGATTGCGGCGCGGAGAGGGACTCTTCGTACTATTATCGGGATACGTATCTCCGTTTACCGATGGATTCTCTCCGGGAACGTTTGAAGTCCGTCGATCCGGATATCATGTTCATTTCGATAAGCATTCTGTTCGAGAGATTCAACTTTGAACGTCATCGCTCAGAGAGTTTCACAACAAAGACGGCGTCTGAGCTGCCGCTGGTAATACGAGAGCGTGACATAGAATACCAGATCAGGCGGATCTTCAGATTCCGAAAGCTCGTTGAACTCTATCCCTTGACGGGCAGAGCCATTCAGCTTGAGGCCGCTATCGATATTCCTCCGTATTTCCGCGGTCATGTTTGGGCCGCTCTGCTGGGGGCGCAGGGCGATTATCATGCGGAGTTCGATGAGATCGACAAAGACACGCCCACCCCCATGGACAGACAAATCGATGTTGACATACCTCGCTGCCATCAGTACGACCAACTCCTCTGCTCCCCGGTGGCTCACATGAAGTTCCGTCGGCTCCTGAAAGCGTGGGTGTCTTCGCATCCTCAGTACGTTTATTGGCAGGTGAGGCTCTTTCAGCAAAGTTTTAGGATGGAATGAAGTCGAGTCGATTCTACCAAGAGTAGGCAAGTTTTCAAAGGCTGATTACGTGAACTGTCTCTTTTCCACAGGGTTTGGATTCTCTTTGTGCGCCGTTCTTGAGCTTGCATTTCAATAATGAGGCGTTGGCCTATCAATGCTTGTCGCGTTTCGTCGATAAGTACCTGCACAAGTTTTTCCTGCAAGACAACTCGCAAGTGAGTCTCGAGAAAATTGTGCTTTCCGATTTTCGAATGCTCCTCGATGCTGAACCTATTCCTACTTTCCCCAGGTGATCAAAGAGTATCTCGCAGTATTTTCCCGACTTGTGACATACCACGATCCGGTCCTTTCATTGCATCTGCAAAAAGAAGATTTTATCCCAGATCTCTATGCCATTCCATGGTTTCTGACGATGTATACCCACGTATTTGCGCTACACAAGGTAGGATGAATTCATTGAGATGAAAAATCAAACGCGTCCCGGTTCCTCCACACAGACTTGATTGATAACTGAGCGGAATGTTCTTCTAGGTTTATCATCTGTGGGACGCTCTCCTGTTGCGCGGGGAAGCTTTTCCTCTCTGCGTAGGAGTTGCCATTCTGACTCAGCTTCGCGAACAACTACTGACTTTTGGATTCAACGAATGCATACTCACCTTCACCGACATGCCTGAACTCGATATCGAACGACTCGTGAAGGACGCTGTCGATATATTCGATTCAACTCCTCAGAGCATCTGCTTCAGGTTTGACACTCGAGGAGCTCCAATGCTTCTCCGTCCATTCGTGATTACAATGTACTCGGGGTAAAGACGAGTCTTCGGTAAATCCCGAGCTCATGGGAACGATCGAATTTAGGTCACACTCGAAGAGACCGATTTCTGGAATGACGCCCCTGTCCCTGGAGACATTGAGGGAAGAACTCACGCCGAGGATTTCGACCGACGATTTTTTTATTGCCCTGTCTGCACCCTCAAGCAAGGATGCCTCGGGTCGAACAACTCTACGGGAACGTGTGCTGGTGCTTGACGTACGGCCAAAGGAAGAATATCTGGAGGGTAAGTTAAGGAATTTCCCCGCCGATCTGTTTTCACCAGCGAATCAATCCTTCCTCTATGGAGACCGGAAATTCTCTTCAATTGAAGCACTTCCCTTTCTTACTTTTTGGCTTCGGAAATATATTGAGGAGACCATTTTGCCCCATGTGGAATCCTTGTCATTGAGCCTAATTCTATCCTTCCAGGCTGTCTCCGGGGTGCTGTGAACATTCCCAAAGACGTCGCGTTCACGCCGGAAGGTAAATTGGCGTCTTGCCCAGAAGCGTCTGCCCTGGCAGCTCACAAAGGCAACATCATCGTAGTCTTCGGGAACGAGGAAGATCGACGCAAAGTGGCCAATCAACTCGTTCATCTCGACTACCGTCATGTGTGCATACTGGACACCACAGTCCACGACATTAGAATCCGAATGTCTCCGCCGATCTGTCTTTACTAGCGAATCAAATCTTGCCCCTCGTCATCGCACATGCCAATCCCAAGATTGCTTAGAAATGACCCGGGTTGGACCGATCTTAATGAAGACAATTAGGCGCTGAAATTATGTAGAAACACCGGGGTCGGTGCGCGAACGCGCCTTGGACGGGTTTCACTGCGAACGGAAACGAATGATTTCGATGAGCCGAGGCGAACTTTCATGTAAATAAGGTGTGAATACAGCATAAGGGACAGACCTGGAATCTAAGATTCGCGTCGCTCAAATTTAGATAATATATATATAGTTGTCGTCTATTTTCCTCTGGATCTGGGACCATCATCAACTGATTCTTAGGACTCCCTGATGGTAGGCTGTTTGAACATTCCCTGTTTCGCTAAATAAATTCATATATACAAGTTGTCTTATGGAACTCAAAGTCTCTTCCCTCGATAGGATAGACCGGTTCAACGGCTTGGGTAGGAGCCATCTATGCCGACCTCTAAGCGTCCCTGCTGAGTGACCGCAAGTCAACGATGCGGCGCCGACGTGAGCTTTTGACGTGGGAACGTCTTTAGTATGGCTTAGGTGGTCGGTCTAATGTACAGTTGAACCTCGTTTTACCGGACTTCGAGGGACCCGCCGAAATTGTCCGTTATAACCGGAATCCGTTGAATCCGACCGAGGGGTCTGGGAAAATCCTGGGAATTCATCGTGCGCGACTTGGCAGATTCGATGAGCGACTACTTCCAGTTTGTAAACAGATTTCGCGTCCCGCTCGAAATCATAAACTAGCCGAAACGTGCAATCGCGCATCACGTGCGCGTAACCGTACTGAACTCAAGGAGAAGTATAGGTTGCGGACTCCGAAAAAGGTCCGCTGTAAGCGAAAGTCCGTTGTATCCGAGTCCGCTATAACCGACCCTCTAAACATGGTTTTCTATAGGAACTCGGTTGGGACCGCCGGAAAAGTCCGTTATAACCGAGGGTCCGTTACATCCGGGTCCGTTATAACGAGGTTCTACTGTACTTCTCGTTCGTCAAGACTTGAAGCTTTATTGTGGCTTCATCCGTCCAGTTTTCGTGGAATTGTATCGTCGTTCTGGGCATCTTCAACAGTCTCGAAAAAACCACTCCGAATATCATAAAATACATTTTCCCGACGGTGAATGAATACTCCAGGACTTGCGACAGCTGAGCAAATAGGCCAATTTGTGGCGCAAGCGATAGAGTGTAAATTTGAAACCTGAACATCTAGGAGGGTGGCAGGCTCGACAAATACACCTCGACCCGTTCCCGGATAGCGTACCTGCATTTATCTGCTTTGGCAGATTCTATTCTGATATGGTTTCTCACGACGATGTACCAAATATCAGTTTGAAGGAACGGCACCTCCCTCAAGTGCGGTGGGCAACTCATTCCAGAGGAAGTAGTATTTTCTTTTCCATATGGTCTCATTCTCAGGATGAGACCTAAACTCGCAAGTCGGAACTGCAAGGCGAAAAGGGACGCGAACCGGCCGGCAAAAAGCGGAGGCGGGCGCGGAGCGGGTTGCGGAGCACCGAGCAAGGACTAGGGGGACGATCCGACCCATCATTGATTCGCAATGTGGGGCTTCCGTCGCGAACAGTTTCTCGCATGAGGACCAGCCATTGGTTGCGGGAGCGATTTCTGAACGGATTGACCCGGATTTAGCGAGATCTCCCGAACTGTTCCATGTCCGGCAATGAGCATCCGTATACATCTGCCTGGTTTGAGCGGGATTTGAAGGCAGTGACCGCTGGGATGGCGTGTACGCTATCCAACCATTTCCCAGGCGAGGATACGATCATGTTCAGACTCTGCGGCCCTTGTCTCAGAGTAAGTCGAACAAACAAAATCCCGGCAATTAGTAGGACGGATGGATATGTGTACCTCCCTAAGCCATCGAACTTGCCGGACTCAGATCCCATAACCGGAAGACTGATCTCCCCGCAGATACCTTTCATGCAGATCCGTCGCCTACGTCGAGAGGGTTCTCATGGTATCATTGACCAGGTGATAAATGTGCCCGCGGGAGTTGACAATATGGTGCGATCCCTGCCGCACGGTTCAGATGACGACTCCGCATTCAATGTCAACTTGAAGGAAGGAATCATTCATAAATCATCCGACATAAGCGGACTTGTGGAAAAATCATCAGTGCGGAGATGGCTACCATATTTGCTCGAGCGGCCCTTCTACAAGCTTCACAATATCGAGGTGGATTGGTCTGTCTTCAAGGATTCCCTCATCGGAGCTGATTCCATAGCTGATGACGGTATAGAACACCTGGATCTTAGCGATGCGCTAGAGTCCGAATCTACAACATCAATTAACGGCAAAATACTATGATGTGGACTGAAGAGCACTGCCTGAATAGGTAATTTCCCCCGTATGTTCGATCATACTATCTTGAATACCTCCAGACACCCTCCAAAAGGGGTCAGGAAGACGTTTTCACGCCTCCATTACGGTAGTGTCCATGACACTGTGACTTTTTTCTTGCCTGACTCTATCCTCAAAATTCCGCTCCGATTGCTCCCCTAGCGGCGGAGCGGGAAAGTTGCTATTGAGAACCCGCGGATCGGAGGTTCACCTGCCGGCGCTCTTCGGACCCGTCTGTATGAGGCCTCATTCCAAGGCAGTTAAGATATTCTATTCTATCTTAGGAGCAAGTGACATTCCTGGAAGTTGGTGAGCCCCCGGTATCCAAGTGTGAGGTGCGCCAGGACTTCGTCAAGAGAGATGACGGGCGCTTCCCGCAAACGGGGAGCGTTTTGAAAGATCATGCGATAAACAACGTCTTTCGAGAGGTAGCCCTGTAGGTCCCGCTGTCGACGGTCGCAAGCGCTCCCCCTGGCTTCCGGGATCTTGGGGTACATTGATTCAGCTGCCTCAGCTCCCCAGGAGTACAGCAGGTTCGACTTTTTACAACCTTCTGGGAGATCCCCTTGACTTTGAGGTGCTCGTCTACTTTCTCAATGTTGCTGACCCGCCTCCCGGGAGCTGTCTCTTCTGTTGGGCATCCGCGTTCGGTCGAGCCCAGGGAGAACATTCGACAGACGCACCGGACCGAGGAAGGCTTCTTAGATATCCATGGGTCATCCAATTCAAGTAACCAGCCCATGAACATCGCCTATAGAAGATGCGCAGACAAGCAATACCATACCACGGGACGAAACCATCTGCGAGCCGGAAGCGCAAGTTCATAGAACTCCGGAGAATGCGAGGCTGTTGGGGAATGGTGCTAGGCTCCTGCGAAAACGATGAAAACCGGAGGAGACTCCGGATCAAAGAGACGGGACTTAAACTCAACCCAATCGCCTGGTACTACACGGAGGAATCATCCCTCCGCGGACCATCGGAGGAATCACGATGTAGCGGCTGGCGGCTGACGGGCTGTGGGGAGCCCTGCAGTCATTTGAAAAACTATCATCCCATAGTTCTAATGTATCGCGAATTTTCGACCACCGAACACCTCTTCTAGCATGGCCCCGGCAGAAGTCTTCTTCCGAGAGGAGGATCCCGGGACATCAACGCTCAAGCCAGCCTTTAGCTAATGAACTTATGACCATGATTTTTAATTGGTCGAGCCCGCACCGTTTCGAGAGATTGGCTCGACAGTGGGTCCTGGATTCTCTTCATATGCGTATACTCTGGCTTCGGTATCCAGAGTCAGATTGTAGATCAATTGTGCTTCTTCACTCGAGTATGGGCTCTGGAGGGACGCGTCATCAATTTTCACTCTCACCCTCCCAGGATCCGAGCCCCATTTCGATGACCGACGAGGCCTTCCTTCGTAACGCGCGAGAAGTTGCGACGACTTCAATTACCTGGGCATCTCAACTCTGCAATGGGGCGCTGATCGGGGGATTTTCATAGCATATCGGCTTCGGCTCACGAGACCCTCCCCGTCGCAGTGTGCCGATGATCACCCCCAATCCTCGAATCCTCGATCGCTGAGCTCAGCGCACCCCCTGGCTCTGTATGACATCGATCTTCGCATGGGGGCGTTAATTGGAATTCTCCTGGCTGCGCTCCTCAGAATGAATGGCTCTCAGATAGATCGGAGAAGCGAGCTCTATGATTCTGACTTCCTGGTCATTATCAAGCATGTAGTTTCCGAAAGATCGACATTCGCACTCCCAAGGAGCTTGACGTGCTCTGTCACTAAGGGGAACTTCGCTTGACGAGGTGTGGTGCTCGATGTGAAGTAATGCGTCTCAAGTGGGAACATCGAACCTTTGAAGCGCCGCCATTCGAGACTGAGGGTTCAATGTGCGTCCACATCCTACGGTTGAGAGATCATTTCCTCTCTCGGGGTCTCATAAAAGCACTTCCTCTGCTTCTGAGGGGCACTTCACCTTCAGAATTCGTGTCCTTGTGCATCGCTCGTGCTTTCATCGCGGAGAAGAGCAATCTCAACGTAAGTTTTCGCTGTTGAACTCAACCCTCGGAAAGGAACTGTAGCTAGGCGAGAATCGCCGTCGACGGGAGTCGAAGGTCGACGCTCCGCCTGGATTCTTAGTTTCGCACAACTCTCGTTGCCAACACCCCGAGCTTACGATTCAAGGAAAGATATCTGAAAATATTCTCTGTTCTAGATGCTGCTCTTCCGATTTCTGCTCGTGTTGCTGGCGTGCCTGGGAGCTGCAAAGGCAGCCAGTATCGCCAGCGAAAGCGACGGCGTTCCGCGGGCGGCAACCTCCGCCATACCTGCGAAACGTCCGGGCAAACCTCCATATAAATTGCCCCCTCCCGAGAGCTTCACGGAGTTCCCGGAGAGGCGATAGGGAATTTCGGAGCTAGCTCGGATTCCGTTTCCAGTGAACACCGCGGTTGGATCTCGCTCGGATATCGCAGCAAGCGACTCCGGAAGCGTGACAAGGCACAATCTGGCGGAGAACCTCGGGGTTCCTCGATGCGAACCGCTATCCACGATTTCTGTAGAATAAAAAGAAGTTCTCCCTCTAATCTTCTAAGTGTCTAGATTGCCGAAGAAGGGTTATGGAACCTTCGATACTTTCACTCCATGATGAGGAGTCACATCAGTAATGGATCGACTGTGTATGGGAAGTTGAAGGATTTTCTCGATGCGACGGAACGGATCATACGGTGCATCAAGCCAGAATCATCATACATAGTCTCTTCCATCGTGGATTCCGAATCCCGACTGATTTTGAGGCTGGTCATGATGCGAAATTATTGCGCGGATGATCTAGGCCTGAGGACTCGAACACTGAGTTCGACTATTGTTAAAAAATTCTAGAGCCTCAAAGGGGTGATTTTCCAACAGAAGCGAGGGAGCTTCGACGCTTCCAGCTCCGTGCAAAA